TTTTTCAAAGGTTTAAACAGAATATTTTTTACATTTAAATTGTAATTGTATATCCACAGTTCCAGCTCATTTGTAAATATAAAATAGCTTTGGTTTCTAAATCTTATCCTAATATTATACACATAGAAGACACATCATCATCATGCAACCTTACTATCTGATGACTAAAAAGATGGAGAGTTTTACTTTAAAGTTTTTTATCGAGATAACGTGTGTGCCTCCGTGTCTGTTCAACCCTGATCATCCAGCTGAAACATGACAGGCAGCATTGTTGAACAAGGATATGCCCCGTTCCTCATTTCTTAGTTTCTTGCACGTTTGTCTTGTTCACACATTTTAAGATAATCAAACATAATGAAATATTAGACGATATTCAGTCCTGCTGCATTACCCACCTGTGGTTAAGCTTACTGAGTGACCTGATGGCTGGACATGGTCAGAGTTCATGATTGAATCAATTACAGTCGTCCAGGTCCTGAAGCAGCAGAGCAGCATGGACATTACTCCGTCCTCGTCTTGTTGTATTAATATATCATTGTTTAATATCACATGTTACCATATATTATCATATTCAATGCTGTTAGTTTTACACAGAATATTCTCCAAAAACTATCTTTGATCATCAAGGTGTTTTTGGATAAATGTGAGTAAAATTAGTTTGGTCTGAAACATGTAACAAATATACACCAAAACAATGAAATACTTGCATGTGGTTTATCTGCAGTACCTGTAAAATCCCATGGAAAAATGTTGTGACATGTTTTTATAGAACTGAAAGCGACAATGTAATGACAGCCTTACTCATCTGCTTGTCTTAATAGGAAGAACATACTTCCCACATTGTTAGCGTCTGGCTTTGTTTGGTTCATAATTGAATTAGCTCTTGGCTAGCAGCCGCATACACCACTTTACAAGCGTTTCCATCCGTGTGTTGGTTACATTGCTTAAGACCACATTAGGAGCACTGCTGGCTTAGTGTTACAGGGTGGGGGGCATCGTATAATTGAAAACCGACAGCTTAACCAAGATTTTTGTTACGTCTCTCAAACTCTTGTGTAATCCATTTATTTCTATTCATTTATCAGGTCGACATCTTTCAGAAGGATCTGTTGTTGATCCCCATCCATCTTGAGGTCCACTGGTCGCTGGTCAGTGTTGACATTCCTCGTCGAGCCATCACCTACTTTGACTCTCAGAGGACTTTGAACAGGCGTTGCCCAAAGGTAGGGATCAGGCAGCTTTTGGAAAAGGAATGAGTGGATGATTGAACAGTTTTTGAAGAAAGGTCAGTGGGTATAGATGCTTATTAACGCTTCT